GAAGGCGTTAGTCTCAGCTTTGAAGGTTAATCAACCACTTGCTTTGTGCCTAACCATTTGTTACATGCCAGCAAATGCAGAAATGGCAAACGTGGCATCTTTCAGATGTTCCTTGTTCCCCTGTGCCTTGCACAAGGCTGAAATTGCTTACCTTGACTCCGCACACCCTCGCAGCTGCTGTTTAGCTGGATGGTATTATCCCAGTTTTCACATTGAAAGACTGAGGCTTAGGTTCACATGTCTAAGGTTGGGCATTCTGCAAATCGCTGTGTGTCAGGGCATTGCGGTAATCATGGTGAGGAAGTTAAGCACAGTTCATGCGCTCACATGGAGCCAGTGGCTGTGTGAGAGGTAGGTGTTGGAAGATGGGTCCGAGAGGTCATTGATGGATGGGAGTTAGCTAGCTAAGTGACAGGTGGGAGGAGGCCCTTGTTGAAGGCAGTTCTGAGGGGGTGGGAACTGGGCACAGGAAAGAGCTGTGGGAGGTAGGCCAGTGTGGGAGAACCCGGTGCCAGTCAGGAGTGAGGCCATGGCAGACGCTTTAAAGGGGCCTAAGAATTTGCTTTTAGGCTTTAGGTCATTGGGTGTTCTCGGAAGAATGGTTTGGAGTGGAATGAGAGTGAATGACAGGTAGACAGACATTAGTGGTTCCGCCTCCCTGGTGACAGTGGAGATGGGGGAGGAGTGAGAAGATTGAAGAGGTACTGAGGGCATGGAGTCAGTGGCTTTTAGCCACACTGACCTGGGGAGAAGGGCTTCGAGAGATTCAAAAGCACGAGTGAAGCTGGGCATGGGTTTACTATCTGGGAGGCAGAGGCAGGAGGATTGAAAGTTCAAGGCCAGTTTGGGCACGTCAGTGCAGACCCCGTTTTCAAAATAAAAAGGGCTAGAGGTGTAGCTCAGTGGTAGACCTGTCATGTGTTTGGCTCTGGATTTGATCCTATTCCCCGCCCCCTATAGCTGACCTCCAGGAGAGTTCAGCAGGTGAGCCCTTGGTTGGGATGGGGGAGTTAGGTTTGTGTCTCTGGGTAGGCGGCTCAGACACCAGGTGGACAGCTGGGTGTCTGGATCCGTTTGGGGAGGAGGAAGTCAGGGCAGGGAGGTAGCTTTGTGAGGTGCTGGCACAGGTTAACACATGCGCAAGTCACAGAGGACATGAGATTGTGGAGTGTGGGCCGAGGGCCTGGGCTGGAACCCATGGGGTGCTGAAGGGAGTCGGATAAGAGACCTGAGGAGGGCAAGGTCCTATCCACAAAGGAAACAGATATCTCAGGGTGAGAAAGTGGCTGATAACACTAGGTGCTGAGAGTTGGGTAGGTCTGGAATATTAACACGTGAGGCCATCTGACAGAAATATGGGGGGGCGGCAAGGAGGCACTGAGAAATACTCAACTGAGACAGAAGAAAGGCAAACAGCAAGTGTAGACAAGATCTTTTATTTAGCTGTGAGATCCCGGGTTGGAAGGGGGCCTTTTATGTGTAGACACAAGAAACGGGTTTGACTCTAGAGCAGAATGGATAATCAGATGCATGAAGTCCCCTGGATGGGAGGTGTGGGATTTGGAGCCCAAGTGAAGGATTAGCTGCTGCCCCTGGTGTGGGTTGGGAGGCAGCTGTGCCCACAGGCAGTTTGGGGACTTTAGGGTTGGAGTCCCTTGAGGAACATCCCGGCATGCAGCTTCTCCTGGGTGCCCTAGGCTCTTTTCATGGTGATGGCAAACCTTTTAGAGCTTTCAGTGATACAGCCCACTGGGGTACTCGGGCTGTAGCTTCACCACCACTGGCCTAGGGTTTCTCCTGGGGTCTGAGCCTGAGGATTCTGTGCTCTATTCACTTGGCTGAATCTGCCTCCCTGTTTTCAGGAGTGTAAGGTTTGGTTTGGAAAAGACTGGCAGTGCAGTGTGGGGGTGGGAGAGGTTGTGTTCTAGATTCTAGGACTAGTGCTATGGCAGCCACAGGTAGAGGGGACAAGGTAAGCCAGGTGTGCTTGAGTTGAGTCTTGGAGAAGTTCATCAGGAAGGTGACCAAGAAAGGGGGGATGTTCTTGGGACCCTCAAAAGTGTCAAAGGCTGGGGAAGGGAGGGTTTATATGTGTAAGAAGGAAGTGGAAGGGGTCAAGAATCTGGATGTTTGGGGGCCAGAGGATTTTCCAGGTTATACACTCCACATTTGTGAGCGACACAGCTGGGATTTTTGTGAGTACCCAAATTCAGTTGCACCGGTGGTGCATATAGTTAACCTCTATTAAATTATATCTTGAGAAGTTTGAAGCTGCCAAGGTGAGTCTGGGCGAGTTTGTAAGATATTTTGATGGCCAAGTGACTCATGCCTGCATAGCAGTCTCTTGGATCCTGATTTAGCATCCTGTCAGAGACCTAGTTCCCCTGGAATGACCAGGCACAGATGTCAACGCCCTGTTTTAACAGTGGAGCTTGGGAGAGGTGCCTGGGGGCGTGCGTGCGTGCGTGTGTGTCTGCCGTGGTTGTGCGTGGCCATTTTCCTCTGACTGCTTCCCCATGGTTTGCAGACCTGCTTCGGATGTTCTTCGATGCGCTGTATGATGAGGACGTGGTGAAGGAGGAAGCATTCTACAGCTGGGAGAGCAGCAAGGACCCCGCTGAGCAGCTGGGCAAGGGCGTGGCCCTTAAATCTGTCACAGCCTTCTTCAACTGGCTCCGGGAGGCTGAGGAGGAGGAGTCTGACCACAACTGAGGGAGGGTGGGGCTGGGGACATGAGCCCCATGGACGCCAATGGCCCGGCCAGCCGCCTGGACTGCAGGGGGTGGCAGCAGCGGCGGCGGCGGTGGCAGCAGGTGCCTGTAGTGCGATGAGTCTGAACTAATAAAGTGGCTGAAGAGGCAGGATGGCTTGGGGCTGCCTGGGGCCCCCTCCAGGATGCTGCCAGGTGTCCCTCTCCTTCCCCGGGGGCACAGAGATATATTATATATAAAGTCTTGAAATTTGGTGTGTCTTGAGGGGGGGCACTAAGCCCTGCCCCTGAGGTCCTTTTTTATTTTCTGAAAATCACTCTTGGGACTGCCGTCCTCGCTGCTGGGGGCATATGCCCCAGCCCCTGCACCACCCCTGCTGCTGCCTGGGCAGGGGGAAGGGGGGGCACGGTGCCTGTAATTATTAAACATGAATTCAATTAAGCTCACTGCCTCTGCTTTATGGCCGGCTCCCTTTAGAGAAGGTAAGGACTGGTGGGCAGCTTCTTTTTCAGAGCTGGCACTGTAGCACTGTTCTGTATCCTGGCACCTCTGCCTCTTCCCGTCCACGATGGGTCTGGGGAGCCAGTTGCCGCGGGGCGGGGGGGCGGACGACATGCTGTGTGTTTCGCTAGCTGTGTGAAGGCTCTAGTTTTCAGGCAGGTTATAGCTGGAGAAATCCCTTTTTTAGCCTGAAGATGGCCCTCTTCGAATGGGGGCTAGAAGCCGCGAGGCATTTTCTTTTCAAGTCTTGAGATGGCACGGCCTAGGGAGCTTGCCTCGTGTGCCTTCAGGGTGGCCCGCAGTGGCCTGAGGACGGGACGGGGCCATCGAAGCCGCAGCCCCAGGGTGCCCCTGCGTGTCCGTGACGTCGGCTTTGTCCCGCCCGCTCTGGGTGGGAACGCGGGCGGCCACGCCCTCGCGCTGACGTCACCGGCCCGGTCCCCTCTCCCGGGAGCGGCGGCGGACGCGGCTCCCACCCCCTCCCCTCACGGGCAGTCCCCTCCCTGGTGGTGGCCGCGGCCCGACCCTCAGCCAGGCGATGGCCTGGGCCCCGAGCATGCTTGGGTGCCCGGCCACGGGCTGCATCGGCGCTCGGAGCCCGGCGGGTCAGGGTAAGAGGCGGAGGCCGGGCGCGACTGGGGCTGCGGCCGCCGTGTGCGCGGCCCGCGGGTGGGTGTGGGCCTTGAGGAGGGGGCCGGTGTCGGGAGAGGGAGGAGCCTGCACGGGAGGCGGGCCGGGCCAGGGGAGGGAACGGATGGAGCGGGGAGGGGGCTGCCCGGACTCTGTGGCCTGGTTGCTTCTGGCCCTTGCAGGGAGGACGCGTGGTCTCGCCGCCGCCGTCTACCTGCCAAATCCCCACGCCGAGGTGGCCCGCGGCGCTCAGCCTGGGGAGGGTCCCTCTCTCCGGCCCCTGGGCACCGCCCACACACCCCTGCCTACACCTTGCCCACTGCCCTGGGAGTGGCCCTGCGCGGGGCACCTTCCTCTCCAGGCTGGCTCCCCTCCTAAGGAGTCACGCTGCAAACGCTGGCCAAGCACCCTGCCAACAGTTCGCCTCGCATATGCTACCCCTTCAGAGTCAGCTGGTCGGTCAAAGGGACCTGTGAGCATCTGACCATCTCTCACCTTTTACAACTGTTTTAATTTCCTTCCTCCACCTCTACCAAAAACAAGTCACCCGGACTCTGGAGAGAGAGGTCATCAGGGCTTCCTTCCCACAGCTGGTAACCCCTGCGTGGGCTGTGGTTTCCCCGGATGGTGATGCGTAGGGGGGCCTGGCCTTAGTCTTGTGCACCTGAGGTCTGCCAACCTGCTTCACTTCCGTGTCAAGAGTTTCGATAAAACCTGAGGCCAGGCAGGGACTTGTGATGGTGATGGCTGGGCTTGGACTAGGTCTTCAGGGCAGGTGGTCAGTTCCACAAGTCTTGGTGTGGTTGGTACTTGAGGTTCTTCAGAGCTAAACTCCTGTTGAGATTTATACTTGCCTTGAGGAATTCTGGGATTTGTAGTCCTAAATTAACCTCATGGCTTTTGAGACAAAAGTAGCAGGCTCCTCTGATCCCTGTGGCCTGCTTGGAGTTCAGCAAGTCATCCCCTCCCATAGTCGGGAGAGTTTGGGTGACCTCAGATCTGGCCTTGAGAGTCCTGACTGGGTACCAGCTGGGGGCCAGGGATGGCCTCTAACCTACTGTCTTCCTTTTGATTGGTAGCATTTCTGGGGACCACCAGGTGGCTGAGGCTCAGGGACAGAGACGGCTGCTCCAGCTAAAGGTCAGTTATGTACATGGCCTGGTGGCACTGTTTCGGGGACAGGTCTTGGGTCCCCAACCCCCAGAGAGCTCAGCTAGGCCTCTGGCACTCCCACCCCCTCAAAGCCACGAGGCAGGAGTGTTCTCCTTATGTGACTAGGCACAAGTTCCAAGTGGGGAGGGGACTGGCTCAGCATCCGGAGCCAAAACAGGAATAGAACTGGGAGCTGAGCCTGGAGCAGTTCTGGGCTTTTGGTTCTCCGCATCAACGCAGCCAGCATGCCTATGATTTCTGTGCTGGGCAAAATGTTTCTGTGGCAGCGTGAAGGGCCTGGAGGACGATGGACTTGTCAGCCAAGTCGCAGAGGTGAGACCAGAGACCTGGGAGGTGATGGGAAGCGAGAGTAAGATGCTCACATGGGGAGAGGAAATTTACTCTGGCTTAGGCGTTGGGAACCAGGCTGAAACAAGAAACAGCCTGGTGGCAGAGAGGGCATCCGGAGAAGGCTTTAGGACAGGGGTGAAAATCCGAAAGAAAAACAAAAAAGTGTCAGGAAAGAAGAGTAAAGAGCTGCAGAGTAGCCAAGACTGGCGAGAAGAAAGAACCATGGCAGAAAGCGGAGAGAAGGCAGGCAGTGAGCCTGCAAAGGTCCGGGTGGCAGGGAGAGGGTGTCCGCGATGGGAGAATTGAATGTGTTTCGGAGGGGTATGGGTAGGCTGGGAACCTGGGAGAAGATTCAGAATTTATCTACATTTGGATTTCACCATAGAGTTTTTTTGTTTGTTTTTGTTTTTTGGTACGGAACTCAGGACCTTGCGCAGCAGGCGCCAGAACCACTGAGCTAAATCCCCGGCCCCACCATAGAGTTTTGATAGCCAAATATTTGTAGAAAAGAAAAATATTTGCAGAGGAGGAAGGTGGCCAGTGAGCTGCCACAAAACCCGGCTCCGAGTCAAAGGCGCTGAATGCGGGGCTTTCAGGGTTGAGGAGACACCAGGCGGCTTCTGGTATTCTGGGAGGTGGGGAAGGGGGTCCCTGATGAAATGATGAAACTGGGGGTCCCTGCATGCAACTGGGGGTCTTGGCACAAGTGGGGCCCCAGCTGAACAGCCTTTCCGAACTTCGCAGTGGCCTCGGACCCCGCGTGGGCTGTGGAGTGGATCGAACTTCCGCGTGGCCTGTCCCTGTCCTCTTTGGGATCTGCTCGGACCCTCCGAGGCTGGAGCCGGTCCTCCCGTCCTTCCTCCGTTGATAGCCAGGACTTGCCAGAGGTGCTGGGCCCTGGTGTTGGGGTGTGTGTGTGTGCGTGTGTGTGTGCGCGCGCGCGTGTGCCGCAACCACATACAGGAGCTCTGTGTCCCCGGCCCCCGCCTCGCCAGCCTGCCTCGGCTCCCTTTTCCTGCGAGCGGAGGCGCTATCCGGCCGGCGGGCCGCAAGGCCGCCCCCGCGCCGGTCTGCTCTGCTCGGCGTTGTGCCAGCGGGCGGGCTCGCTTGTGCCTTCGGCGCTGACGTCAGCGCATCCTGGGCCGTATCCCGGGAGACCCTGTTGCATGGTGATGGGTTGCCAGGGAGACACACACCTTTTCTCTGGGCCTGGGCCACAGCTGCGCGGAGAGCTGGGCACGGATGGCGGCGGTGGCGGGGGGTGGGGTGGGGGTGGTGGTGAGCGGGAGCAGGAGCAGGGAGGGACAGCAGCGAGACGGGAAACACCTCGCAGGTGCTCCTCCCCCAGGCCTGGCCAGAGGGCTCTGTCAGCCAGGTACTAACAGGGAAGGACAGGGTGGGCCTGAGGCCAGGAGGCTGTTGGAGGCTGCTCTGGTGCCGGGTGGGAACGTGACGGACGGGGCGCTAGGCAATGCTGGGGAGGGGATGTGCCTCCATTCCCTCCATCCATGGAGGGAAACGTTTGCTGGGGGCCTGACCAGAAGCCAGGTGCAGGGTGGAGTTAGGGACACAGGCGGGTCAGACTTAGGCCCTGACGTCCACAGCTCCCTCAGGAGCCAGGAAAGGACGTGGGGGCAGGGGCGGGGGCAGGGAAGAGCCTGTGGGCTGAAAGATGGTCTCCTTGGCATAGAGGAAAGCTGGGTTCCTTTTCCGGGAGGAAAGGGAAGGCGAGAAGTGGGTGGTATTGGTATTAGATTGCAAGGTCTGCTCTGCAGGAGGCTGGGGGTTCACAGAGTGGTGCCCTTGATGGCCCGGGTGTGAGGCCTGCATCAATGACATGGGACAGGAAAGATTTTAAGTAGAGACATGCTGTGACTAGCTGCACTCCAGGAAAATTGTTTACATTTATACCTTGTCTCATTCATTCAGCCTATGCATTTTGAGAGATTACTCTGTATTAGGCACCATGCTGAACACTGGGGTGCAGCAGTGACCAAAAACAAACTGAAACCCTCAATGAGAGAGTCTAACAAAAGGAAACATAATTACATCGTGCGGGTAAGGGTCACAAACAGGTACATTGATGCGGGACAGTGATTGGGGGAGACTACAGAAGAACAGACCACTGGCAGGAGGCCGAAAAGACCCTCTGAGGGGGTGATATTCACCCCAGCCTGGAAGGATGAGAGAATCAGCCAGCCATGGGGAGAGAGGGAGGGAAAGAGAGGAAACCCACACACATGTGGGGCTAAGAAAATAGCAGAAAGCCGGGCATGGTGACACACATCTGTAGTTTCAGCACTCAGGAGGCTGAGGCAGAAGGATCACCACGAGTCTGTGGCCATCCTGGGCTACATAGTGAGTTCAAGGCCAGTTTGAACTACACAGAAAGACTTCATCTCAAATAAATAAATGAGGGCTGGGGATTTAGCTCAGTGGTACCATGCCTGCCTCGAAAGCACAAGGTCCTGAGTTCGGTCCCTGGTACCGCAAAACACAACAACAACAAAACAATCAAATAAATAAATGAATGAATGAATAAATAAATAAATAAATGCAAGTGAATAAGAGAGTTGGAGGAGGTGAGAGAAACATGATTTGTGCTAACCTGGGCAGGGGCATTGAGGGCTAAAGGAAGAGCAGTGGTAGTGGGAGCACAAAGGGTGACGCAGTATCAGAGGAGTCACTAGGACTTAATATCAGATCTGGGGAGGAGAAGCTTAGGGAACAGTTGATGGTAATGCTGAGGACTGGAGCCAGGCCAAATGGGAGAACGGTGAGGTGACACAAAGTAAGGAAGTCGGGAAGCCGGGCAGACGTGGAGAGAAGGAGTTGGTTTGATGTTGGTCGTGCCCAGTTTGTGGCTGGAGAAAGCTGGAATATGGATCTGAAGAGGGGAGGAGAGCAGAGGGAGGGGACCTTAAGGAAGTCCCTCATGTCAGACCTCGGTCCCTACTTCCTTTTCCTTGTTCTTGAGCCCCACTCCATGACTCCTCACTTCTGGGGCCTGCTTTCCCTCAGGACCGGACCGGGAAGGTAGATGGCTGGCTACACCTCTCTTCCCTTGGGCCTGCCAGAGTGCTCCCTGTGAGGGCACTTTGCTGGTATAGCTCCTTTTTTTTTTTTTTGGTACTGGGGATCGAACTCGGGACCTTATGCTTTCGAGGCAGGTGACAGAACCGCTGAGCTAAATCCCCGGCCCTTTAGCTTCTTTTTAAAACAATATTTATTGGGCCAGGGATTTAGCTCAGTGGTTCCAGCGCCTGCCTCACAAGCACAAGGTCCCAAGTTCAATCCCCGGTACCAAAAAAAAAAAAAAAAATTTACTTTTTGGTATAGCTTCTTATCCTTCTGTGTGTGCCAGCAGCCACTGGGGCCTGTGTGCTTCCCAGGCCTTCTTCCCCGCTGCCATGTCCCCTCATACCTCGGGTGGGTATGGACATGTTGGAGGGAAGGACACTGCTGTCAGAGGGGCACTCACCTTCCGATCGTGTTGCTCAAGGTGAATGTTGGAGACACAGTCGCGATGCTGCCCAAGTCCCGGAGAGCCCTAACCATCCAGGAGATTGCAGCGCTGGCCAGATCTTCCCTGCATGGTACGCACCCACCTCTCTCGTGCCTCTGGCCACTTTGTTCCTTCTCCTCCCTTTTGCACTTGGCTTTTGGGACAGTTTCCTGTGGGTGCTTGCTGGGGTCACCTTTTCCAAATGAATCCCAGTCCTCCCTCCCCGTTCAGAGGCACACATGGATCCTAACTCTGGCCGCCTTCTGTTTCCCAATCCATTCCCTTATCGGGCTTCTCTTTCCCCCGCTTCTAGGTATTTCCCAGGTGGTAAAGGACCACGTGACCAAGCCCACGGCCATGGCCCAGGGCCGAGTGGCTCACCTCATTGAGTGGAAGGGCTGGAGCAAGCCCAGTGACTCACCTGCTGCCCTGGAATCAGCCTTTTCTTCCTATTCGGACCTCAGTGAGGGTGAACAAGAGGCTCGCTTTGCCGCAGGTGGGTGCACAAAGGGGGTCGGAAACAGGCTTGTCACAGGGTGGCTGCCTCTGATCTCACTGGGTCTGACAGGAGGAGTGGTCTTTCCCTCCCATCCGCAAGCTGAGCCCTTGTCTTAGCTCAGCAGCTCAGTTCATGAATTCTATGTCTCCCTCAACAGGAGTGGCCGAACAGTTTGCTATTGCAGAAGCCAAGCTCCGAGCGTGGTCTTCCATGGATGGCGATGACTCCACCGATGACTCCTATGATGAGGACTTTGCTGGGGGAACTGATGCAGGTGAGGGGCATTCTGGGCTAGAGCTGCCAGCTGGAGTGGACCTGCCTCATGGGGCTGAGACTGAGCTGCACCCTGAACACCCCCAACCTTTGGAAGGGGAGGGGAGAGGGCAGACTGTCCAGACTTGGCCACCCTGGTGGTGGCATGTGGGCGGGTACATCCATGGCAGGAATTCAGCAGTTGGAAATGGAGTGTGAAGCTCCTTGCCTACAGGTGCCGAGCCTTTGTTCACACATGCAGTTGGGCCTTGCAGTCCTCAAAAAAGGTAGGGGCTCCAGGCGCCCCCTGTGTAGCCACGGCTCGGCTCCGGGAGGAGCTGCAGTGCTCCTGCCTTTCCCCCAGTGGCTGTGGCAGTGCCGAGGCACAGCCCCTCACGGGGCACTGGCCCCAGGCAAACAGGAAGTTGTGCGGGGCCGGCTCCCCCAGGGCCGCTGGCTCCAGCTCAGCATCCACACATTCCAGCCTGTGGACCCTTCCAGGGGCGGTGCTTGCCGAGGGGACCCCGCGGGGCTGTGCAGCTGTGCTCGGCTCTCTTTCATCCTCCCTCGCCTGGACTGAGTTTCTCTGTAGCTTCTGGGTTCCAGCCTCACAGGACCCCTGCTCCCCACCCCGCCTCATTGCCTTTGAAGATTGCCTCCACTAGCTCCCCAATCCTCAGCTAATTAACAAGTGCTCCGACACTAGAGATGCCCAGAGACTGCTACTGTGGTCCAGAGGGTACTGATTTGGATCCCCGAGACCACGCTGGAACCCCAGCCACAAGCACTTTTGTTTGACTGAGTTCCAGGCCTGCTTTGGCTCTGGGATAATAACATTTATCCAAGGTTGCTGCTAGCCCACGTGGAACCTTGGGGCAATTTTAAAAAGACGTGGCTTCTCAGGCGGGCTCAGCCCCGTGCCAGGGCCTGCTGCTTGGTGAGCCTCGCTGGAGGCTTTGCGCGTGAGCAACCTGCACTGACTGCCTGCTACCTTTGTGCCACACTTTTGTTCCCTCCACAACCCCACAGGGTGGGTATAGTTAGGGTCCCTAACTCACCCAAAATTGGGGCTTGCCTGAAGCTCCCCAGCTCTCATCCAACCCCCATTCCCAGAGCTGTGGCAAGGATGAGGGGCTGGGGCAGGTGGCTTCCAGGTTGGCCAGCTGACATGTGGCCTGCAGAGCTGTCTCCTCTCCTCTTCCTTCACAGACTTGGCCGGCCAGCTGCCTCTGGGCCCCCACCTCCAGGACCTCTTCACCGGCCGCCGATTCTCCCGGCCCGTGCGCCAGGGCTCCGTGGAGCCTGAGAGCGACTGCTCACAGACCGTGTCCCCGGACACCCTGTGCTCTAGTCTGTGCAGCCTGGAGGACGGGTTGCTGGGCTCACCGGCCCGGCTGACCTCCCAGCTGCTGGGCGACGAGCTGCTCCTCGCCACACTGCCCCCCAGCCGGGAATGTGCCTTCCGCAGCCTGGGTCCACTGGAGGCCCAGGACTCACTCTACAACTCGCCCCTCACAGAGCCCTGCCTTTCCCCTGCCGAGGAGGACTGCCAGTCGCTCTGCCCACGGCCAGCGGGCAGCTGGGAACGGCAGCGGCAAGCCTCTGACGGGGCCTCTTCTGGGGTGGTGTCCTTGGAAGAGGACGAGGCGGAGCCCGAGGAACAGTGACCCGCGTCTTGCCTGTGGGTGGCCTGCGCATGCGTCCCCTGGCTGCTGCTGGGGGCGGAGCCGCCTGCCCAGGCGTGGCCTCAGGGCTCTCCGCAAGCTCCACAGCTCGAGGGCTCCTTGGAGCACTGACTTCTCCGTTGTGTGTTTTGCATGAAAGTGTCTGGGCAGGGGGCAGAGCCCGGGCGGGGGGCGCATGTCCTGCCCCCGCTCCTGGGGCCTGCCGGGCGCTGCCTGGAGCCCCTGGGCATGGCCACAGCTGTGGCAGACAGTGACGTTCATGTTCTCCGGTCCAAAACTCGCCACGTTTCCTCCTCAGAGGACGTGAGCCCCCTCAGGGGACCTTGTGACTGGGCTGGGGGTGAAGAGGGCGGGAGCCTGCCTGCCTCTTCCCCTCCGCACGCCTCTGCTTCTCTCCTCACCTCCGAATCCCTGCACAGTGCTTGATAGAAAACCTGCCCCTGGGGGGCTGGCTCCTGCCTGCCCGGAGCCCTCGGATCGAGCCGTCCCCTAAGGGCCGCTGCCCAGCTGGGCTCGTGCTGGGCTTCACCTCTCCATCGTCTCTAAATCTTCTTTTTTCCTAAAGACACAGGGTTTCTGGTCTCTTCTTTCAGTTGGATCTTCTCTAGGAGGCACTGGAATGACGAATGCGTTTCCCGAGCTCTCCCGGGATGGGATGTGTGGGCCGGGCCGGAGCAGAGGTCTCCAGGGCGGGGCCGCAGGGCGGGTGGCCGGCAGCTGCTCCAGAGCTGCGGCTTTGTTCTTCTACAGAGGGCCACAAGGGGGCCACCGGGGTGGAACGTTGTCAGCTGATGCCTGTGCCAGGCCAGAATTGTGCCAGTGAGTGACCGTCCTGAGGGTGCCTGTCCTCTCCGCAGGAGGGTAGCGCCTTTCTTGGCCGTGACTACAGTAGTGGTGATGACGAAGCAGCGGAGGCCTCTGGCACCTTCTGCACTCCGAGGACGGACGTGGGCTCTAGACTCTATGGTTGTGGGAGGGTGGGTGGCTGCGGAATTGGGAGCCTTGTAGGCTGGGCCAGGTGAGAGGGCCCAAGGTAAGAACAAGAGCCAGTGGGCACAAGCATTCTATATATGAGTGGCTCATTAGGTGTTTATTTTGTTCTATTTAAGAATTTGTTTTATTAAATTAATATAAAAATCTTTGTAAATCTCTATATACATCTGGTCATTGGAGGTTCCAGTATAAATCCATCTTAGTTCTGCCCCTTTCCCCCTCAGAGGGGGATCAGGGGCCGCATGACCCCGCCCCCGCCTTGCCAGAGCCTTGGCGAACTCCTGGGCCTTGGAAACTGCTGGGCCGGCCTTCAGGAAGGATGGACTGGGAGAACCCAGCACCCCAGGTCTGGGCGGAAAGCCGGGGCTCCAGCCTCCAGCTGTAGGTGCTTCCTTCAGGAAGGATGTGGCTACCACCATCCAAGGCCACCCATCAAGGGGTTCACTGGCACTTGTCGTCACTGTCAGAAGGGCTGCCGTCTCGGGGGAGCCTGTGGCAGGAGCGGGGCCCCCAGAGTGCGTGCACCTCTGTGGTCTCCGTGTCACTGCTGCTAGTGGCACTGTCGCGGAAGCTGGCGAGGGGCGGCCGGACTTTCACACCCTGGGCTGTGACAGAGCCCTCGATAGCCTTCCGGAGCTGGAGGGGAGAGGGTCAGACGTCTGGCTGAGGAGCTCCATTCTTCCTGCCCATTCTCCTTCCCAGGACTTCCCCCAGGGGGACTGGACATAGGCTTCCCCATCTTTCCGGATGCGGAAATGGCTTTGGTGGCTGCTGTCACCTTACCTCCTTTAGGGTAACAATTCCAATGAGCCTGCCAATACTGGTGACATAAGCATGGTCCACTCCCAGTAGCGAGAAGATGGTGTGAGTCTGCAGGGCGAGGAGGAAGCATTGGACTTGATGTTCTGGGGACAGCTCTAAATCACAGGGCAACGAGGCCCAGGACAAGGTGGGGGTGGGACAGAAGGGGTGGCACAGGTGGTGACGGGGAGAGGACAGGGCTGCCGGGAGGAAAACGATAGAGTGTTACTGTGCCCCTAGGCTGCGGGAATTTGGCTGAAATTCTTACGTTGCCTGCATTAAGGAAAACCCTTGTTCTGTTTTTCTTGCTTGGAATCCTCTTGCAAGCTTTCAAATGTAACCACCAAGGGTTCAGAAATTGTCCGACAATTCCCCTTGTGCGTAAGTGGATTGATTTTCTTAGGCCAGATGCCTTGAGAAAGGCTCTCCTGACTCAGCAGTTCCTGGAATTTGGGTCTTGAGTTTATCTCACTGTGCCTGGTTTACTCGTAAGCCTCTTGGCTTAATGTTGAATCAAGATGGGCAGCAATAACCCAGCTTCTTGAATTCTAATTACTCAGAGCTCATTTAAATTGACTTAACACTTTTTGGGGCAGTAGTGAGGATTGAAGCCAGGGAATGCCGAGCTATCACCAGCCCTTGTTTTTGAGATAGGGCCTCAATAAATGGCCTAGGGTGGCTTCAAACTTGAGATCCACTGCCCTTAGCCTCCCAAGTTGCTGGGATTAGAGGCTGTGTTACCAAGCCATGCCCTACTCTTTCTTTTCTTTCTTTTTTTGAGACAGAGTCTTGCCATGTAGTCTAAACTGGCTTTGAACTTGTGGCGATTCTCCTGCCTCAGCCTCCCGAGTGCTGGGATTACAGGCTTGTGCGGTCACACCCAGCTTCTGCCTTCTCTCCTTACGGTCAAATAATCTCTCTCCTCTTCTCCCAAGGATCCTATTAAATAGGCCCTTTGCATTTTCCTTTTCTCTAAGTCCTAATCCAAGTGAACTTCTGCCAGGTGAGGTGGCTTTTAGGTTGGCGACCGTGTGTCCGTGGTGGTGACCACGCTCACCAGTATATTCCTGAATGTCCTGGCCTTCGCCTGACTCAGCCTTACCTCCCTCACCACTAGGAATGGGCCCCAGCAGCAGAATGGAGTCTCCCGCTTTCTGCCTCTCTTCTCTCCAGTGTGGCTGCTGTCCTGTGTCCTTAACTTGAGCCGTGCCCAGGCTCCCTAGAATGGCCAAAGGCCCTTCCCAAGGTGCCCCGGCCTGGCTTTTCAGCCTGATTCCGCCTGATTCAGTCCTGCACCCCAGCTTCCAGACTCACGTCATCATCCCTTCCTGAAAATACCCACTGTTTCCACATTTTAGCTCTGCCCTCACTATGGCGTCTCTTTTTTTGGTACCGGGATTGAACTGGGGACCTTGCGCTTGTGAGGCAGACCCCGGAACCACTGAGCTAAATCCCCGGCCCATTATGCTGTCTTTTAAAGTCCCCAGTGCCCATGAATGTCCTCGATCCTTATTTTGGATCCCGTGCTTCCTGTGTCTTAACTCCTTTGGTCCTCAGAAGACCCAGTGGGACACATTCCTGGGTTTACAGATGAGTGTGGCACAGAGCATCCCAGAGGTTTGCCTGGGTCCCACAGCTACCTCTCTCTCAGGTGGCAGAGTGAGGCTTTGGGCCTCCATTAGCTTTGTGGTCGCCCCACCTCCACTCTCTGCCTCCCCACAGGTGGCCCCACTGAATGAAGTCCCTAACTGCACCCATCAGCAGCTGCACAGGTTCTGGACTAGTCTCCACTGTGTTCCCTCTCCCCCTGGAAAGTTCCCCTGCTGCACTTAATTGGGCTCCTACTTACTGATTTCTTAGGCCTGCAAGGACATTTTGAATTCTGATCTTTCATGTTCTTATCATTCCAGTTCTTTGTACTTTTGTGAGTCAGTTCCTCAAAGGCTTCTTCTCTTCTTTGATTTTTAAGTTTCTAACAAACACCCACTTTGTTCTTTTTCATTGTAATTTAATTAGACACCAGGGAACTCATTGGAGGGCCTAAATTTCTTGGGCTTGGGAACAGTGAACCGACAGGGAAGGGGACACCACCAGGGAAGGGGACAATGTGGCCTTCTGAAAGAATCCTGGGAGCAAGGCCAGGAGATCTGGGTTCTGAGCCTGCCCGTGTGAAACCGACTCAGGCAAATGACCTCTTCCTTGCATGCCTCGGTTTTCCTATGTACTAATCCATCTTGGATTGCCCAATTCTGTTACTTCCTGGCTGTGTGACCTTGAGAAACTTGCTTAACCTCTCTGATTTTCAATTTCTTCTATAAAAGTTGCAATACCACAATATCTATTTTATAGTGTGGTTGTGAGGCTTAAGTTACATGTGAAGAGATTAGCACAGTGCCTGGCACATAGCAAGCACTAAAAAAATGCCAGCATTACCATCATCATCATTTTGGATGTTTGAGGATTAAGATGATTGGTCATTGTGGAAATGCTTTAGAGGGTTTTAGAAAGAAAGTCCTTAGCGAAAAGCCTGATTAGCTCTACTTGGGCCTATCTCCTTTCCATTGCAATTGTACTGCCGTTCTCCACTCACTTTGGCTTGTCTCTCTCTTTGATAGTGCTGGAGACTGAGTCCAGGAAGCACTGCGCCATACCCCTAGCCCTTTCTTGTTTAGTATTTTGGGTTTTTAAAATTTTTTTATTTTTTGGTACTGGGTATCGAACTTGGGTCCTTGTGCTTGCACAGCAGGCGGCGAAACCGCTGAGCTAAATCCCTGGCCCTTTTGGGGTTTCGAGACAGGGTCCCACTGTGTAGCTCTGTGTGGCCTCCAACTTGCAATAAGCCTCCTGCCTCAGCCTTCCAGGTGCTGGGATCACAGGCATGACCACGCCTGGCCTCTTGTCTAGGATTTTGAGACAGGCTCTTGCTAAGTTGCCTAGGTTGGCCTCAAACTTGTGATCCTTCCACCTCAGCCTCCAGAGTTAGGTGGGATTACAGGTATGTGCACTGACTTCCTGCTCACTTTGATCTGAGGGATTTATCTAAAGGGTAGCAAGCTCCTTTCCTGTAGTTTGCTTTTGTGCTTCTCTTCTGTCTACTGTCCTTCCTGCCCCGACCTCTACTTGTGCATGTTATGCTGGCTCTTAGGCACAGCCACCCAAGCTGTAGGCCTTGGGAATATTCATCCCTGCCTGTCCCCTTTTCCCCGTGTCCCCTGTTCCCAAGAGAGGCTTGCATATTAAGCCTGTCAAAAACTGAGCTAAAGGCCGGGGATGCAGCTCAGTGATTTGTACTTGCATATGATGTACAAGGCCTGGGTTTGAGTCCCTGGATGGGGGTGGGTGAGCGAACTACTCCTTGCTTTTGCTGAGTATACCTGAATCTCCTGCCCTCACTTAGAAGCCTGAAGGTAGGTGCCTGACAGTGCCAGCTGTCCTGTCACTGGGAGCCCCAGAAAGTGCTCCCCAGAGAGCCCTCACCTTCCTGTTGTCTGCCTCCCCTACCACGGACCTGTCCACACTCAATTCTTCTATTTCTGCAGCCGGTTTGCCTTTCTGCTGAGCTATCTTCCTGAATGCTTCCCAGTTTTTCCTCTGGCCCATATTAAGTCAGACATTCTGAGGTCTGACATTCCAAGCCCCCCACAGGGTGTTTCTCATCGTTGTTTATCTCTTCTCTGCAGTCTCCTCACCCCTACTTGGCTGTTTGCTGGCTTATTAGATTTGCTTATCCCGAATGTTTCTCAGCCATCTTTTTCAGCCTGGGTCTATCAGCCTTGCTGGGCTCTGGCAGCCTCCTGCCTAGCTCTGACCCTGGCTTGGCCTTCTGGCTTCTGCCCAGTTCAAGCCCTGCCTTTGTTGCTGCTTTGGCCCACAGTTCCCTGAGGGTGCAGCTGAGTGGAACAAAAATGATGCCTGGCTCTACCACGGAACAGGACAAGGCTGACACCGGCTCTGAGCCTCTGGTTGTCCAGAGCCCGACCCCAAACTGTGGGTGTGTGTGGAGGGTCCCGACCAATCCCCCAGCTAGATCAGCCGCTGACTCTACCTTGTGCAAAGAGGTCCGCTCCACCAGCTGGAAGGGCGCAGGATCGATTTTGCAGTCACTAAAGTTGACAGGTTCCTCTAGCTGCTGTTCCTCCCACTCTAGGATCTGAGGGGAAGAGACTGAGGGTTAGACAGGAGGTGCCAAAAGCTGCTGTCACCTCCCTGAAGGCCAGTCTGCCTTTTTTCCTATCCTGTGGTCCCTCCCATCAGCCAAGATGATGACTGCACACACCCAGAAGAAACAGGGTCCAGAGTCCAGCGGCACCTTACCTCCTCTGGGCTCATCTCAGCTTCCAGGTCCGAGTCGCTCTAGGAAGGAGGGAGAGATGAAGCTGGGTTTCCCCCACCAGGCTCGGGCTCCGGGGTGTTTACCCAGTCTACACCTCTGCCCTCCTGGGCTGCGGGAGGAGGGTGCACATACCGCCAGGGAGATTCGGACCCGCTTCAGCTTGCGCTTTTCACAGGATTCTGGCTTCTCCAACTTTGTCAGAGCCAAATCAGGGACAAGATTTGAGGTTACAGGGAGAGGAGGAGAGTGGGAGAAGCAGTGGAGGCTGGGAGGGAGGGCCTGAGCTGATAGGCAGGAGGGCAGAGGGCAGCAGGAGAAGGGGGCAGGCACAGCAGGGTTAAAGCAGAGGGTCTGACGGCACAGGGAGCGGGGTGGGGAGGCAAGCCAGGACGGGGCAGCTGCAAGTGCTCACCTCCGAAGCAGGCTCAGGAGGCGGGCTGCTGCAGAAGAGGCTCCTGAGGGCAATGCCAGCCGACTCCACGTTGCCTGTGTCCCCAAACACAAGGGCGCAGTGTCATCTTCGGGAAAGAGGGCCGGGGAGGTGAAGGCGGGGTGGGGGGGGCACCCAGGCACTGTGCCCTGGTCCAGCTAGGTGGACTTCAGCCCACGGATCCCAGTGGCCCGCTCAGCTGTGCCTGGGAGGGGTCACAGGCTCACCTATAGAACTCTCCCTGACATTGGTGGCATTGCTGGGCCCTCTCTTGAGAGCAGGCTTCAGGGGCTTGTGTGTCTCTCCATGGGCCGGGGGGAAGGCTGAGTCTTCTGTGTTCACCTGCACAGGCAGGAAGGTACTGGGGAGGCTGGGGCCTGGGCCGCCATCTAAATCATCGCCCTGTCGGTCTGTATGGCACTTCTGGAGTGTGGGTGGCTATGGGGCTTGTCCCTCACCTGGAAGCGGACGGAGGTCTCGGGGCTGGGGAGACCGTCCTGGTCCGAGGGTGGCAACATCTGGGCCTTTCTGTGTTCCTGCATGTGCTGCCGCCGGCGGGCTGGGCTCAGCTGGGCCCCCAGCAACGCCACCACCTGCGAGCGCTCAATGGAGCCCAGCAGGATCATGGACTCTGGAGAGAGCAGGTGGGAGGGCTCAGGGGCTGGGCGTGAGCGTCCCACACTTGGCCTTCTCTTGCACCTGGCGTGGGGCCTCGGACACAGGGCACACACCAGACCTAGGGGAACCAAGGAATCCAGCCCCACATTCCCTGCCCCTTCCTGACAGGTGGCCCTGGGAGACACCTGGAGAAACAAGGGCCCCTCCTGGCCTCACCAGGGGACTCCACCAGGGCCAACATCCGCCCCTTGGTCCTGTGCAGTGCCAAGCGCAGGTCCCGGAAGGTGCAGTTGAGGGACACGTGGGGAACGTCCCGGACCATGATGTCCTCCACTCGCACCCGGTACTGCCTGGGGGTCCAGTGTGTGTTCAGTCTGTGGTCAGCTTCGAGGGGCCCAGGGCACCACCATTCTATGCCAAGAGGAAGGTTCCAGAAGCCCAGGGGACAGGGACCAAGGGCCAACAAGTGCTCCCCACCCTTCTTTCCAATCAGTTGGGCCAGCTGCACCCCAGGGGGAGGCCATCTGACTGGAAGGGGCAAAGCAGCCAGGCTCCCAGCTTTCCTGGCTCAGAACCTTGCTGGCGTGGTGCGGGGGTCCTCTCAGGCCTTTTGCCCTCTCCCACCACCCCCTTGCCACCGAGAGCCCCATACTGGTGGCGGCCCCAGGCCAGTTCAGGCAGGTAGGGCAGCTTCTTGATCCGGATGATGCTGTCGTAGAGCGAGGGCTGCAGGCTCTGGGCAACGGCGTTGGCCAGGATGACGGCGATCATGACGGGCAGGATGTGGGCGATCTGGCCTGTGAGCTCGAATACGATCACAGCCGTTGACACTGTGTGTGTCACTGCTCCCGCCAGTGCCGCTGCCCCTGGGGACAGCTCCTCTCAGTCTCCTGGGGGTGCTCAGGCCCCAGAGGCCCCTTCAGCAGATGGGTTGAGGCAGGGCCTGTGGAGGTCCCTTAGGGCTGGCCCATCTGATCCTTGGGCGTGGGGCTCTGGGTCTGCCAGCAGGGGGCACCAGAGGCTCAGGGTCTGTGGCCAGCCTGGGGCCCGCCAGGGCAGATGCAGACTGGGAGCACTGCTGCGGGTGTAAGGTGCCTGCCTAGCAGAGGCAAGACGCTGGGTTTGAACCCCTGCACATCGCGAAACAGACAGACACACGCAGACCCGGCGTACTCACCAACCACTGCATAGCCCCCAGGCACAATCCGGTAGGTGCTACCGTCCGTGTGAATGCCATCAGGGAACCAGGCAGCCATGCTTTCACCGACCAGACGCCCAAATGCTGCTCCTTCAGGGAGGGGGGTGGGGAGACAAAGAGGTAGTGGAGGGGGAGGGTGGAAGCACTAGGAAGAGAGAGGGTCGGTGGGGGAGGGGCCGGTGGGTCATTCAGCGCAGGGGCAGCCCTGTGGGGTGGGGCTTTGGGCTAGGGCTGGACCAAAAACCCACTCCTGGGCAGAGAGGGGGTGGCCGGGAGGTGGCTTGAGGGTTGGAGGATGTGGGTTGGGAGGACAGTTGAAAACTCACCAATGACAAAGACAGGCATGAAGGCCCCACAGGGCACTGGGATGGTGGTGGCGAGGGCAGACATCCAGAACTGCGGGCAGGAGGTCACTCACACAAGCTCCCCACCACAGAGGCTACCTTGCTGATTGGGCAGGCGCATTTCCCCAGCTACTCCAGAATCCCGAGGTGACAGGAAGGGGAAGGACTCTGGAGCCAGCTGACCTGGGTTCATCTCCTCACATGCTAGCTAGCTAGGTGACTTTTGGCCCATTACTTAACCTCTTGGGGCTTCCGATCCCCTTTTTAACACCAAGATAGAAGTGCCTTTCTCTTAGCATTGCTGTGAGGCTCAGAAGAGTGAATGCACAGCATGTGTTAACATGTAGCACCTAGTGAGTCCATGTATTGTTAGCGACATACACAGAGCTAGGCAGCCCCACCTTCATGAGAATGAAGATGACCAGGGTGAGGAAGACGTTGGCGCGTGGTGGGTTCCAGGCCTGTGAGGTGCTGGGTGGTCCTAACTCTTCCACCAGGCCCTGGCGGACCCACGTCCGGTTGTCAAACAGGGTGACTAGCGTCTCTTTCTGTGAGAGCTGAGGTGAACAGATGCTTCAGGCTGAGGCACAAAAGATGCTGAGAAGGGGATCCCAGGAATCCACAGAACAGGGACCCCACAATCATGCGGGGCACACGGCTTGAGAAGGAATGCGTCTGAGGGGAAAGGCACATTTGGGTCCTGCCCTGGGGTTACCTGTCCTGCCATGAACTGTCCAAAGCCAGGGGGAAAGGTCAGAGTGGAGATAAGCAGGCTCACCAGGGCTGGGAAGAGCAGGCGTCTAGAGAGGAGGTTTCATAGCATCAGACTTGGGTGGGGCCTCCGAGGGACGGGTGATGGGCTAGGTGCCTCAAAAGCCGCAGGGCTGAGGAGGTCACCTTTGCTGCTCATGACATGCAAGCCCCAAAGGTGACAGTGGACCCCATTACCAGGAGAGGTGGGGAACCCGACCTGAAGGGCTTCCTGTCAGTCACTTCTTGACTCTCAGGAGGCAGCAGCAGCAGGAGAAAGTCCATCATCCCAACCCTGGCTTGGACACTTGGACAACTGTGAGCTGTCACTCCGCCTCCACCCGCAGAAGCCCCAGCTGAAGGGCGCATTGTGTGAGGGCGTAGAGAATCTCTGTCTCTGTCTTGCTCCCTCTCTGGTGCCTCAGAGGAAGCTGGGGTCATTTATGAAGTTGAAGCAGGTGCCTCAGGGAGCAGGCTCAGTTGGCTGCCTTCCCCTTCCTGGACGTCAGTCCCAGGGGAAGTTACTTCTCAGGCCTCCCTACTCCCGCTCTTCGGGGTCCCAATGAGAGAGCTTGTTCCAGAGATTAAGAGTCTCATCCACTCTCATGGGCCACCAGGGGTACACTGAGGCTCACATTTTCCAGGGGACACTGCTATCTGGGCCAAGCTGCAGGACCCAAAAAAGCCTCAGTCTTTGATCCCAAATGCCCTCTTCCAGTGACTAAAAATTCAACAGTGCCAATTTTCAGGTAACTCATATAAACACCTTGGCTGATTTCTCAGTGGAGTACCTTTTTTGTTGTTGTTTTTTTTGGTATTGGGGATCGAACTCAGGGCTTTCACACTGAGCTATATCCCCAGCTTTTTTTTTTTTTTTTTTGGTACCGGGGATTGAACTCAGGACCTTGCACTTTCGAAGCAGGGGCTGGAACCACTGAGCTAAATCCCCGGCCCTGTCCTCAGCTGTTTTTAATTGTTTTATTTTGAGACAGGGTCTCACTAGTCACTGAGTTGCCCCAGCTGGGTTCAAACTTGTGACCCTCCTGCCTTGGCCTCCCAGGGTGCTGGGATCACAAGTCTTGCCACCATGCCTGGGTACATGCCTGTCTTTGACTGCCCCCCACTATCTCACCCCTCGGTGTCCCCCTAACCCCTGTGGCCCCCATATAATCCCAAGCAGCCTGGAGAAGACTCTGTGGCCAACTCACTTCCTCATGAGGAAGCGATTGATGGTTTTCTGCTTCCTCATCACCTGGACAATCTTCCGGTTCAGGTAGACGAAGAGGGCTCCCCCAAAGCCACTAGCGACTCTGGACAGGGAAGAAGCAGGAGGGTAGAAGGGAGTCTTTCCATGGCCCCTAATTGTCCCATGGCCTCACGCCTGCCGGTAGCTCCTCACCCGATGACAGCGAAGGCCGGCAGCTCCTGAAGGTCGAAAGGGAAGTCGAGCCGGAACCGGGTTTTGAAAAGGGCAGTGATGGTCTCTGAGGGGAAGAGCAGCAGGGAGGCGGGCCTAGCCCTCAGGTGCCCCACCTGGGCCATTTCAGGCGCCCTCAGCCACCAGGTGCCTCTCACCTTCGTCCCGGTTCCAGACCGCCAGGACCCGGAAGATGAAGGCACTGAAGGTGGCGGCAAAGAAGCCCCGCCAGTAGTTCCGCACAGCAAAGAAGGTGGAGGTGACCTCGATGCTGAACAGGACACCTGTGAGGACCGGGGACCACGGTGCCTGAGACCCAGAGGACGGGGCGGAGGAGGAGAGGCCCAGGACAGGCCCAGGGCCACGGCCCACCCCAGGAACTCCCGCCTACCTCCGATGGGCGCCGCAAAGCAGCAGCCCACTCCCACGGCGCAGGCGGCGGCCAGCATTTCTGTGTTCCGGGACTCGTTCTGGCAAAGAACGGGTGGCAAGGGGCGACGACTTGGGTTCAGTAGCCCAGGCTTCCCCTCCCCTCCTCCAGGGTTCCCCTTACCTCATAGATCCCCCCAAACAGGGAGAGGAACTTGCTCAGGAGGGAGGCACACATGCTGGCGATGTGCACGAAAGGGCCCTGAGGGGCGGGGCCGCTGGTGAGTGGGGCAGGGCTGGCCTTGACCTTGGCCTGGCTTCTTCCCCATTTCCAGGGACCCCTCAGCCCCCCACCTGCAGTTACCTCTTTGCCCAGGGGCATCCCGCTGCCCAGGGCACAGGTCAGCCCTATGACCTTAGCCACAAAGGTCTTGAGGGTGAGGTATTCTTTCAGCACCACTCCCCGCAAGATGGTCTTCATCTCGGGGATGCCGGACCCTGGAGGGGCACGGCCAGGAGTCACTGGATGGACTCCGTTCAGGAGGGGACCTGTGCCCTCCCCTTGCTCCTCTCATACCCACAGCCTGAGGGGCCAGGATCTGTGTGAATCCGGCCGAGAAAGTGATGAGGACGACAGGGTAGGTGACCCAGGCCAGGTACTGGAGTAGGATGCTGGTGTTCAAGCCCTGAGACATCCACTGCTGAGCTGCAGGAAGAGGAGGTGCTGCTGGACCCTCGATGTGCCTGGCAGCTACAGGGAAGACTGCCCAAGGCCAGGCTCAGATGGACGGGAAGGGGCCCTGTTGGCCACTCACGGGGCCATGCCGCTGTGGGGCAGAGGGTGAGCACAAGAGGGGAGGCAGGAGTTGTGGTCTTTGGGAGTGGCAGTGATTGCGTGTGAAGACTGGCAGTCAGACTGGCCCGGGAGAGGGCTCTGCAGCCAAGCAGCTAAGACACAACCAGGACTGAGGCACAGTGAAGCCCATTGGTTGTCCCCAGCCCTCCCGGGACAGTGCCAGCCTCACCCTGCAGACAGACAGCGATGGCATAGTCCATGGCCCAGCTCACCAACGCCATGAGGAGCCCCAGCAGGACTAGGAAGATCCAGTCTTCGCCCACTCTGGACACTAGGAATTTGTGGCAGCGTACAGAGCAGACTGGGGACAGGGAGATCCATGGGGAGTTTGGCACCTGAGGCTTCCACCCAGGTCACCCCCTAGCACAGCACAGCCAGGTCCCCTTCCCAACCCAGGTCTCACTGTGGCATGGGGCGCAACGACTCTGTCCGTATTCCAAGAGCTCTGGGGGTGCCCTCGGGGAAGGGGGCCCCTTCCAGGGCTCAGGCCCTCCCAGGCGAATGCGGGCAGCTTCCTCTTTGGCAAAGACCCCGAGTTCCTGAGTATAGCGGCCATACATCTGGAGCAAAGGGGAAGAGGGGTCATTAGAGTGTGTAAGTGGGGGGCTGTGGGGGGTGAGGGGGCCCCTGGGGCCTTGACTCCCCATCTCCGAGCCCCCAATCTGCAGTATTCCCCCTCTGGAAGCCACAATTCCCGCTCTGGCTCGCAGTGTGGGAACAATGCACATTGCAAACTGTGGGGGCTGCCCTGGCCGGAGTGCTGGGGACTGCCGAGGTACCAGGACACAGCTCTGGGGGTGGCAGAATAATTGGTCCTCTTCTCCCAGGCTGGGGGGGCACTGAGGAGGAACGGGAGGGAAAACCCCAGGGGAGGGAAAAGATGGGAAAACCTAAGCCACAGTCTGAAAGTGGGAGGCGGAAAGGTCGAAGAATAAGGGATGGTCAAGGGCGCACGGGCACAGCGAGAGCCTGGCGGAGCTGAGGGCAGCTGAGCGGGGCCTGGACAGGCGGGGCCCCAATCCTTATCACGTTCTTGCTGGGCCTCTGGCCTGTGACCAACGCCGCTGCTCCCCTCCTACCTACCCTAATCCCCTTGTCCCCACCTTCCCCCACCTCCGCCTGCCAGCCAGCTGGGAGTGGACCGGTGGGCCTCACTCTGGAGCTGCCCCAGTCCAGTGGCAAATGGGGGGACATCAGAGGGTGCGGAAGGCAAGGCTGTGACAGATGCTGGGGTGACAGGACAGTCGGAGCTGTGGCCAGACCTGCCAAGCTGGGCGTGTGTTGGGGGGTGGGGAGGAGTGGATTCTGGCTGCCACCAGCAGAGCTTCAGGACACAAAGGGCTCCTGTTGGGGCTGGGGGGGGATAGACACACAGAGAGATGAGAGATAGGAGGGAGAGAAGCACAGAGAGGAGAGAGAGGAAAAGAGAAAAGGGAGGAGGGAAAGAGGGAACGCAGCAGGGAGCAGGAAGAGTGGAGCGTAGGGACCCAGCACAGGACACAGGTGACAGAAAGACAAAGGGGGGAGGGAGGAGGGAAGTGGCCAGCGCAGAGAGTCCAGGCAGAGGGCCTGCCCCCAGGGCTCATTCTGGGGTACTCGGGGAAGGGATGGAGACATCCTGCCACCCTTCCCAGTCATCCTGCCCCTCCAGTCACACTTTCCCAGGTCCTCTTCTGGAGAGGTTCCCTCCCTGCCACCTTCCTGGGCAAATTCCAGCCAAGCTGATAAAAAGGAGTCATAGGGCCCATTGCTTTTCCTAGGCCTTGGGTCCCCCACCCCAGTGACACAGAAGGATCAAACAGCTTCTCAAATATTAAGTCACAGGGTGGCCATGAGTCAGCTCAGAGCCCAGGACCCCCGCTTTTAATGAGGTCAAGGAACAACAACTCTGGGGTGGGTGGGAGCTGCATACCCAGAGCCAGCATGGACAAAGGTCCCAATTCCCACACCCATTTCGGCTCCTGTTGCCCACGGTGGTGGGCCGTCTTTGCCCAGAGGGTTGACTGAGGCAGAGGCTGGGGGCGGGGGTGAGTCTTATCACTGTTTACACGCTCCTGAGTCTGTGCCTAGTACAAGCTATGTACATGGCAGGGACACAGGGAATGTCCTGGGTGGTGGGGACAGAGGAGTGTGGAGAAAGTTCAAGGGTGTGAATGGTGCTGGGAAAGGGGAGTGGGGAAGGGGACTTGAGCTCAGGTGGTGGGAGGAGGAGCAAACAAAACGCGTGTGCAGGGAGGAACTGAAGGGAAGGGCAGGGGGAACCAGCACCCGGCGTCTCCGTCCTCCGCAGGCCCCCGGCTTCAGCTAGAAAGCAGCGAGCAGCTTTTCAACCCTTTGGCGCTGCTGCCTGTCAGGCTCCCGAGGCTCAGCCGCCCCAGCTCGGCAGGCTGACGCGGGAATGCGGAGGCCTCCAGTGCTCGCGCTTTCTGGGAGACCCGGAGGAGCACGGCCGGGTGCACGTCTCGGGCTTGGCTGGGCTCCACTCACCAGGGTCTGCTGGTACTGCAGCGCCCGCGGCTCCATCCCTTCTGTCGCCGCCGCCGAGGCCGCCATCTCCGCGCCTCCCTGCGCCGCGCCGGTTCCGGCCTGGACTCGGCTCCCGGCCCGCAGAGCCCACGCCCGCGCCCGTCGGGTCCCCGCAGCCCGGGCGGCGAGTGCAGAGTGCGGCGGGTCGCGGCGGGCGCCGCAGAGCAGCCTCCCGCGCGCGTCCCCTCCTCGGCGGGCGGGCCGAGGGCGGTGCCCTCCGTGCCGCTCCGCCCGCCGGCCCACCCGGAGGCCCCGGCCCAGCCCCGCGAGGGTCTGCGCCGGGGCCGCCTCCTAGGCTGGGGGAGGCGGCAGGGGGCGCCCGGGGTGTGTGAGCGCGAGCCCCTCCCCGTGGAGGCCCCGGACAGCGGCGTAAGGGGGCCGGGCCAGGGCGGGCCCGTGGCACGTGGAGGGGCCGGGCCGCGGCGCCCAGCGGGGCGGGAGGGGTCGGGACGCCGGGGCTCGGTGGGTCTAGGCGCTGGTGGGTGCAGGACCGTCTACCTCAGGCTTCCCGGCCGGACCCGTGAGGAGCCGCCCCGTCTGCCCCTCGGCACGGTCCGGTCGGCCAGGGAAGGTTCCTCTGCCCCGGCCAGGGTGAGAAGCAATGATGGCGGGGGGGGGGGGACGCCGAGGGGAGTTGAAGGCCGTCGTCCCTTCAACGTTTCCCTTTCCTTTCTGGGGAGGGGGCTCCCCCAGGCAGGTGCACCTGAGGCTGCCAGGGAGGGGACAGGAAGAGGCGAGGCCCGAGGAAAGGGAGTCGTAGGCCACTCCTGGGAGGCAGTCTCTTCTCCCTGTCCAGGCCGGAGGAGAAACTCGAGGAGCTGCTGACGTCTCGTTGCTGTGGGGGAACGGCCCGCGGGGGGCCCGCGTTGGCTCTCAGGGTCCCTGAAGGGTAGAGTGGGGTGGGTTGAGTGCCAGTGCCCAGGGATGGGGGCGGGGGCGCAGTGTGGGACGCAGAGGCAGTGCCCAGGGAGGGAGCAGTGCCCAGGAGGGGCGCAGTATTCGAGAGTTGCTAGCTCCCGGGTAGAAGGAGCAGCGTGAGGGAAGAAGCTGCCCAGCATGCAGGGACACGGAGATCAGTGCCCAGAAAGAAAGACCAGTGTGGGGGAGCGGGAGGTACCAAGTCGATGGGACAGTGTAGGCTTTTCTCTTCCCCATCGTGACATCATGGCAAATTCCCAAACCGGACCGACCCAGCTCGAGTGACGTCTAGCAGGGCTGGGCCGGCCTGGACCGGCCCGGGGGCCTTGCTGCCAGCTGGAGGGTCTGGGCACCATGCCCTACGGATCAGCGCTGTGGGGGCGGAGTTCTGCGCCACCCGCCCCCCGGCGCGGACTGTGCCCTACGCGGGCACGCAGGCAGGCAGGGTAGGGCTAGGGCTGGGCTTCTACGGGCCAAGGATCAAGGTCCTTGCCTGGGTAAGGCCCCCACGCATTCCAGTGTTCGGAACCCGGACTCTGCAGAGGGGGCAGTAGAGCCCCACAGCAGAGCCCGGCAACTCGCGCCACCTCCGTGAGAGGTGGGGCCCGAGACATCCCCGCCCTGGGCGGAGTCATCAGGACCCGAGATCCACCTTCAACGCGCCAGCTTCCCCGGAGCACTCTGTAGGGGCGGAAGTGAAGAAGCCCCGAGAGGAAGGCGGCGACGGAAGTGGCTGCACTACTGGCAGTCGGTGCGCATGCGGCCTTCTTTCTCCTCGCTGCTGCTCTTCGGCTCCTGTTTCTCCCGCTTTTCTCCAAGCGAGGGTTCGTGTCCGGCGCTACTGCTGCAGCCCTCGTGGCCCCCTCACGATGGCGGGCATCCTGTTTGAGGATATTTTTGATGTGAAAGACATTGACCCGGAAGGCAAGAAGTTTGACCGAGGTAAGTAAGGAGTTGCGGCACGCCCCTGGCCCACCTGTCCTCCGCTCACGTGGTGGGGCGACCACCCTGTGCAAACATCATATGGACAAAAAAAAAAAAAAAAAAAACGGAACCCTGAGCTTTCCTCGATGCCCGGGTGGCCTTTACCATGGTGTTGCTCCTGGGCATCTTGTAGTCCGTACCTAAATCTGCACTGTGCGCTACCTACACACTTTGCCCTATTCATTCCTTTCAGGGGTTCCTGTGAGGTAGGTGGTGTCTTACCCGTTTTGTTCCTAAGAGGTTAAATACCCTACCCAAGACCGCAGTGCGGGGCTAGGGATGTAGCTCAGTGGTACAGAGCGCTTGCTTAAAATGCGCGAGGCCCTAGATTAAAGAGAAAAAAACAGACACACTGTGAGTTGTCTGACTTCCTAACCTAAATTCTTGTATTGTTCCCCAAATGTAACTCCTTGTGAAGTCCTTTCTGAGTTAGAGCAAGCTGGTTGGCATACAAGGAATGGTAGAAAAATACCGAGTGTATTAAAAACTTACTACAGTGAAAGACATCACCATTGATCTCCCTCAAAATACTGTCTCTGAACACTTACCCGATGTTCTTGCCACTTTCTGAAGCAATCCTGGTAGTGCCCTTTGTTGGGTGTCCTTATGAAGTGTGATCCAAAACAGTGAATGCTGCGGCTGAGTGCCATCCAGCCAAAAGGCAGGCTGGTGAAAACACAATGTGTCCTCATCCACCGGATCTGGCACCGTGGGACATCTGGCTCTTCCCCAAAGTCAAAATGACCATGAAAGGTAAACGTTTTGAATCAATTCAGGACATGGAGACAGCCACAGTAGAGCAACTAAAGACATAAAAGAGGACTTCAGAACTTCTTCAGAAAGTATCAAGAACAACGGGCTAAGTGTTTGGAGTGAGGGAGAGTTTTTTTTTTTTGGTACCGGGGATTAAACTCAGGACCTTGTGCTTTCGAGGCAGGCAGCAGAACCACTGAGCGAAATCCCCGGGCCCTAGGGGGAGTATTTTGAGGGGGAACTAATGGCAATGTGTCTTTTACTGTAATAAATTAAAAAAATCTAAACAGTATATTTTTCAGCTGCACCTTATATAACTACTGTGCTGTGGATGATGATTGTTTTTTTTTTTTTTTGGTGTTACTTTTTTTGGCCTGGAAGCATGTTTTTCTTTTTTAATTCTTTTATTGGTACATTTTAGGTATAGAATACGTTTACATTTATCATTGGGTGCTTGTATCTGTACATGATGTATCTTGGTTCATATTTTTTCCCCCATTACCTGTGGGCCCTTCACCCCCTCCACCCTTTGGAAACATGTTTCTCAAGACAGACATTGTTCTTTTTTGTTGTTGTTACTTTGTTTTCTGAGACAGTCCCGATATGTAGTTCAGGCTGGCCTTGAATTTGTTATGTAGCCCTGGCTGATCTCAAATTTGAAATTGCCAAAATCCTGCCTCAGTCTCTTGAATGCCGGGATTACAGGTGTGTGCCACAGTGCCTGGTTCAGACATTAGTTCTTAATCATCCTGATAATCCCCTCACCATAGTGCCTAGTGCACAAAATGGAAACTTTTGGGTGAATGAATAATTAGCTCAAAGCCAGAGGATCTTTGATGCTTCTGTGGGATTCTGCTTACTTGCCATAGTTTTCTCTCTCTTTTTTTCCCCCCAGACTGAACCCAGGGCTTTTGCACTGAGCTATACCCCCAGCCCTTTGTTAAACATTTTGAGACAGGGTCTCACTAAATTGGTAATTTTCCCAGGCTAAGCTCAAACCTGTGATCCTCTTGCCTCAGCTTCTTAGAGTACTGGGGTTATAGGTGTGTGCCATCATGCCTGACAATTTTTTGCCCTTTTCCTTCTCGGATGTGAGGTTCTGATTGAGTTTGTAGTTCATGAAAACAGAGGAGAGGCCAGGGGATGGAGACTAGATTAAAAGTCCATTGCGCTTAACCCTAAACTGCTCTGGGCCTATCACTCTCTTTGTATTTCTCCTCAGTATCTCGACTGCATTGTGAGAGTGAATCTTTCAAGATGGACCTCATCTTAGATGTGAACATTCAGATTTACCCTGTAGACTTGGGTAAGTATTGAACACAGAAAGAGATTTTTTTTTTTTTTAACTGCATAATTTCAGCTCTTCACCCTGAGATATTGCCGTTATTTTCAGGTGACAAGTTCCGATTGGTTATAGCTAGTACCTTGTATGAAGATGGTACGCTTGATGATGGTGAATACAACCCCACAGATGACAGGCCTTCCAGGTGAGGAAGTAGAGAAGGGAGTGCTTGAAGTATGCCCTGAAGATTAAGTAGCTAACTGGTATAGAAAGACCTTTATTTATCATTATTATTATTATTAATTTTTTTGGGTGGGGGGAACCAGGGATCGAACTCTGGACCTTGCACTTTCCAGGCAGGCAGCAGAACCACTGAGTTAAATCCCCAGCTATTTTTCTTTTTTGAGACACGATCTCTCGATGTGTAGCCTTGAACTTGCCTTGAACTCGCTGTGTAGCCTAAGCTGGTTTCAAATTCAAGATGATTGTCCTGCTTCAGACTACTCCCAAGTGCTGGGATTATAGGCATGAGCCACCTGGCTATGATTATTTTTTGTTTATTTATTTATTTGTGTGGTGCTGGGGTTGTAAACTGGGACCTCGCCAATGTGCTATGCCATTGAACTCCATCCCCAGGCCAAGAAGAAGCTTTACATTCCTGGAATAAATGATTATCAGCAGAATTTGAATAACCTTAAGGAAATTATTACAGTTAAGAAATCAGACAACTAGGAAGATGGGTGGGAGGGAAATGGAAAGGGAAGTAAAAAAGAATTAAGATGCAGGGCCAAGGATTTAGCTCAGTGGTTCCAGCGCCTGCCTCAAAAGCGAAAGGTCCCAAGTTCGCATGTACCAATTCCTCATGATGAATGTCATTATTATGGTCTGCAAACATGTACTAATAAAAAAATTAAAACAACAAATGAACAAATCGAGCAACCAGGTGTTTCTTGAGAGAGTTGATAACATGCTTGTGAATTGCAGCTTTTTGAAGACTGAGGAAATGATCACTTGAGTGACCCAGGCTATGTGGCCTGGCTCACAGGATTGCTGTGAGGACTAAACATGTTACTAAATTGCCTGTTACAATGCTGGCACTTACTTGCCAGATACTGTTTTATTTTTTATTTATGTGTTAAAAAATTTTTCTCTTGTACTGGTAATTCAATATCTGCAGGGCCTCACACTTGATAGGCAAGCACTCTACCACTAAGCTACATCCACAACTCTTTTTAAAAATTTTTGTTTTGAGACAGGGTCTTGCTAAATTGCCCAGGCTGGCCTTGAACTTGTGATCTTCCTGCTTTAACCTCCTGAGTAGCTGGGATTACAGGCGTGCGTTAGCATGCCCGGCCCAGTTATCATTCATCAAGGGCCTCGTAACACTGTTAATTATTATGGAGTATAACTTTGCTCAATTTTTCCACAGGGCTGACCAGTTTGAGTATGTAATGTATGGGAAAGTGTACAGGATTGAGGGGGATGAAACATCTACTGAAGCAGCAACACGCCTGTAAGTCCCATAGTCTGGTGAGAATCCTTTTCCCCTCCCTGTCCTAAAAATTTGGGCCGTGTTCCTGCTACTGCCTTGGGTCCTCCTGAAGCACCTGAGACGTATGGAGAACTGAAAGAAACTGCTCTGAGGACAGTTCCCAGTTCGCAATATTGGTGGCTCACGCTGCCCTTTATCAGGATCTCCGGTAATCTTGCTGTCTGAAGTTCAGAGGGAAGTGGATTTCTCCAGGAACTCCATGCAGCATTAAGTGATTAAACAGCTAAGCTTTTTGTTTTTGTTTATTTGTGTGTGTGTTTTGCTACCCTGTAACCCAATCTCTAGTTCTTTGGTTTCCCTGCCCAATTATTAGTTTCTTTTCTATAAAATTTTATTAAAACAATATGTGTTCTTTGTGAGAAATGGAAAAACAGAGAAGTAATGTGAAAAAGGAAAAACTCACCTATAATTCCATACCCAGAGGGAATCTTTTGCTTAAACATTTTTGAATATTATAGGTATCTGTTTAATAACCCAGAGCCTCACATATGTTAGGTAAGCACTCTGCCATTGATCTATACTCCAAGCCCTTATTTATTTTA